CCCCCCCCCCCCCCCCCCCCCCCCCCCCCCCCCCCCCCCCCCCCCCCCCCCCCCCCCCCCCCCCCCCCCCCCCCCGCGTGCAATATACCACCACCACAGAGATTTTGTGCCTCCATGGTGGTCTATAGGTGCCAGGGGCTCCTATCAGTCGATTGACGCGTGAAAAAGACGTGTTTTCCTTGGGTGCTGATTTTGATGTTCCGCCTCATCGCAAGCTTATATACACAACACCGGTTCATTCATAATCTCCTCCTAGACCATAATATGTCACTAGCTACAGGTCTTGTTCGAGTCGAACCAGACCATATCTGGATTCAATTCAGCTTTTCGCTTTCTAGAGTAGAAATATGTTGTATACCTACGAAGATTGTGTCAACTTGAGGGGACAAACAGCCCATAGCCCAATTTCCTGATGAGGTTTTAGTGAAATGTTACTTTGGGACCTACCTAGTTAACGAATGCTGACATAAATTAGGGCTGAAACAGAGTAAGAGATTTCGAAGAAACCTTAATAGCTGGGCACAAGAAAAGATTTGTGCTAAGCATTGCTGCATGTACCTCCTCGCAAACTATGACGAACCAAAGCTACATGTAGTTGTAACACTAGTGATGCAGGGATGTATAGAATGATGCCGAACAGTGGGGAGGGGAGAATATACATTTGTATAGGGTATATGCCCGAAAAATATCACTATGAAGTGGTACATCCGCCAATTTTCTAATCGGACATATAGACTCCCCGGCTTTGATGTTAATGTGAGCTGAGTGCAGCTGCAAAAAGAATGTAAAGTGACAACGTGAATCGACGGGAGGTATACATCTGCGAACGAAGTGGAAAAGTTGTGTTTGGGCTAATTGGAACAGTGATCTGACTTTCTATGACGATACTATCATATGTGGACTGACAGTTTGTGTGCAATTCTGTTTCCTGGGCACGCTGGTTCAAAGTTGAGCTTTCTAGATACATTGTTCGCCTTGTTTGCTGCTTCGCTTTGGTTCTGCAGCTGATCAGCGGCAGTTGGGACCCGACAAGAGTCCCATCAAGAAGTTAATATTCGGGTATAATTCAATTAGCTCTCTATATCATCCCTATATATTCTCAATGGCATGTAATCGTATACTTCTATCTAACTTCCACCTCATTTCTTCGAAGCTAAAACCAGAACAACCGGCCACGAGAACGTCCGCTGAGCCTGCGCCCCGCCCATCTTCTTCTCCAACTCTGCCCACAACGGCTTAACCGGCTCCTCATCCGTCCCGTTAAACGGGAAGATATGCTGGACGAACTGACGCAGCTGCGCCAGATTCCAATCCTTCTTCCAGAGATCCCGATCTTGTTTCTCAATGGTAACCTCCCCCTCCTTGACCTCACTGACCGGCTCCACGGGGAAATTGCACGCATCCTGACCAAAGAATCCCAGCTGCGTCCACTCCGTGTTCCACTTGTGTCGCTGCACAGATTTCCACTCCTCCTGCGCAAAGGGGATGTAATCCAACCAACTCGCAATGCCGTCAGCGGCACGTTTCCACCCCGCCGTATGCTCAGGCCCACCGCCCTTGATGACGCCGCCGAAGTGGTGGTTGATGATAGCGTCCAGCACCGGCTGACAGATCTCAGCGTACTCGGGCTCCGAGAAATGCGCACGCCCGTAGAACCACACGGCCAGGGTGCCGTTCGGCTTCAGCACAGTACGGAAGCTCTGCAGCGCCGTCGCGGTATCCATAAGCGGGAACATCAGCGCACAGACAACCAGGTCCGCCGAGTTGGCCGGATACTGGACACCGAGCTCCTCGCCGAGCGCGACGTCGTAGGAGAATCGCTCAGCGGGGATGTCGGTCTTCGAGAGTGCGTAGCGCGCATAGTCGACGTGGTTCTCATTGTTATCGCTCACGACGACGTGCTTGTATTTCTCCGCCAGTTTCACCGCGACCTGTCCCGGTCCGGCACCGACGTCGTGTGCGACGTCGAACGAGGGCGTCTTGGATTGGGAGGCGTGGTAGTTGTAGATGAGGTTGTAGAAGGAGTCGGTGTATTTGGGCCGCGTGGAGAGGTATCCTTGCCAGTAACGGGCTTGGTCCTCTTGCGTCAGCTTCCACACGTTGGTTGAGTCGTCTTCTTTGGAGTCAGGATGGAGACGAGACGTCCCGGCGCTGATGTTTCTGTGGAATCGAGGGATTGGAGAGACATGACGGATGGGAGCACGAGCGATTGAACGCCCGAAGTGCAGGGAACTGCTTCGGAGGGAAGATGCCATGGTTAGAACCATTGTGAGGGGTATTGTATAGTAGAGAAGGAGAGACCTGCAGGTGAAATCACAGTGCAGATGCAAGGCAAGATCACTCACTTAAGCTCATATCTGGCGATAATCGATGCGCTAAACGAACATGTGATCGGTAGAGTTACACGAGGAGCACCCGGCGATAAAGTAGGATTGGCGACTCTCAAGGTGACAGCTGCTTGGCTCCTCTTTGACCGCTACTCCTCGGCTCCGAGTCGCTTCTGTTGTGAATCTTGCTTGATATGGGGATAGGCAGAGGCATTCGCTTCACGCTCTCATCGCGATTGGACAATGCGCCAATCTCGCTGATTTGACGGAGATGTGGCTTGGGGGCTGACTGGATGGAAAACGCCAGTTCGTCTCCGCTTGGAAAGAAATATTTACAACGTGAGGGGATAGGAGTGACTTGATTGCACATAGTGAATACCTTCCACGGCGCCATTTAATATCAAGTTGGGGACCATCTGCAGAAAGGTGGAGCCGTTTTGTTCTAGTCTCGTTCGGTAAGACCTAGTATGTGACAATACCCGACGGCAGTGTTCTAAAGTGAGTGGTATCGGCTCGTATCGCAAAGACGACCGCGGGTGTCGACATAATATCAAAATGTAGGTATAGGTGTCTTAATCCTTGTATACGTCGGATCTACGGTTAATTATGAGAAACAGTGGCAGATTAAGAAAGCAAAAGAAAATAAGTTATGTTGTATCTTACTAGACGTAAATACGAGTTCCACTATCTGGACTGTGTTAGGCAAGACCTTGCTTAACCAACCGATGAGTATACTTCAACATATTTTAAGGAATAACACAAGATCCCAAATGTTCCTGCATCATGTGTCATATGCTATGTTGCCTACCGTTGAGATATGAGGCTGATAATCTACAGAGCATGTCCCCAAGTAACGGTATATTGTATGGTTATTAACATGAGTACCGTCTACCAGATACGCGAGCTTGGAGAGTTGACTGAGGCTGGATCCACCGGGGAGCATGGATATCTAGTAACTCATACGTGCATGCGAAGTCAAAAGCTTACACAGCCATTACGTGTAAGAGGAGAAGCAATGTTGCATTTTCTGGCCGAATACCTAATATGCATACTATCCGGAAGCGAAGGAAAGTTTCCCTAGCACTTCACGCTTCGCCCCCAAATCCGAAATTTACTACAAAATTGCCACCTACTATTGCGAGATTGCCACATTCCGAACAAGACATGGTATGCTACACCCAAATTCTGAAAGTCAAAATAGCCGAAAGTCTGGCGTAATGTCACCTAGACATATGTGTAATAAATTTTAGTTTTTAGAATTCACGATTATCGAGCCTCAGGATTTGTATGCGGCATGTGTTCAGTATGGGCAAACCGCAAGGCTGATCATTCTCGTCAGCCTCACGGCGTAGAAATTACACACATCGGAAGAAGATAATAATTGCTCAATTGCTCAATTGCTCAATCCGCAATCGGCAATGTTCATATGATTGACACAATCATAAAGGGCATAAACCACTAATGTCACCTTCCTCAGGAGTCAGTAGTCAGTAGATCCGGCCAACTCCGTAGTGAACAAGAATTGAGGGCCATATCTGTCCCCGTTTACCATGTAAAGATACTCCACTCTACTGTCCTTGTTCTCCAGAGTAACGCCAGAGTACAGACCACGGAGAGCACTTAGTCCCCTCCAACCGAACGAGCCGACCTATCAAAATTACCCAAACAAGTATATTGCGGCCCTCTCCGGTCCAAGAGCGCTAAGATAGCCGGCGGGGCCTTGGCGGAAGCATCCCCAAACACTAAGGTAACTAACGCCATGCAACTAACCGTACTAAGTACATACGGTGTACGTTAGGCTTATAACCCAGGAAACTGAGTTCTGACTTCACTAGGAGGGTGAGATTTTAGTTCGCTGTCGGTAAAGTAGAGTATAATTCTCAGAACCTTGCAATTTATGAACCCAAGAATGATTACTCACTAGTTTGTGGTGGCGTGAATGGCGTTAGGGTGCCATTTTGTGAAGGATTGGTGCTGCATTAGTGTCATCCATAAATTGACTGTCCAGGCAGGAGATTGTTTCAACTAAGCCAAGAAATTGTTCATACTCGTACGGCATAACGGTTAATCGTAAGTGGTAACATTGAATTATGTAGAGCCAAGGGACCAAGGAAGCAGGGGCCGTTTCAATTTAAGACAAAATTAATTGAACTTCGCACCAAATAGATTTCCATACTGTACTACTCCATACTGTATCTGTCTTCGGTATTCAAGGCGATTGCCTGTAGTCGGTCCTGGAGGATAATCTCTGCTGCTTGTTCTGCAACTGCATACAAGGTCGCCTGCGGATGACCACCGATGCTCACCGGGAAAACGCTGGCGTCGACAACCCGAAGGTTTTCGGCCCCGTAAACGCGGAGGTCTGAATCCACGACTTTGCCCATCGCGGTTGTGCCGGACGGATGATAGTGAGCAACTCCGGCGGCCCTGATACGCGCCTCGAGCTCAGCATCGGAAGATTGGGGGGATAAGGCGGGCATTCCGGGCGGGGGCACCTCGGCCTCGATGTAATCCTTTAGTGCAGTTGTATCCAGCAACGCTTGTAATGTGCGACGTACCCCGTGAATAAGAGTGACTCGGTCAGCCTCCGTGTCAAAGTAATTAGAGTCCACCATGGGATTGTCCGTAGGCGATGACGAGCTAATGCTAACGGTTCCTCGGGATGTTGAACCTAGCAACATAACGGAGGTCACGATGAAGCTGCCATCCACGGGTACGTCGGGGATGCCGGCAGGGGCGTAAACAACCAATGTCTCGACTAGAGGCCGGCCGGGAGCCAAAAGAGATGGGTCGGTCGTTGTACCAAACCTGGCATCATCGTTGCGTACCGCCGATTCTAGGATATGGGCTGGCATATCCTGATTGATGGTCCAGTCTGCGGGAAACCCCTTCATGAATGCTGGGTCTGAGAGAAGCGGGCTTCCCAATGCGAGACCGCGCTCCGGATTTCGCAATTTGTATAGCTGGAACAGCGCGAAATGATCCGTAAGGCTCTTACCAACTTCCGGTGCGTCGATCACAGTTGGAACGCCATGCTGAGACAACGTTTCGGCGGGCCCAACCCCAGAAAGCATCAAGATCTGGGGAGTACGCAAGGCGCCGGTAGCCAAAATAACCTCTTTCCGAGCTGTAAAACGGCGACCATCCGTAAGAAGAACCGCTGAAGCGATCTTCTTTCCGCTAGGATCGCTTTCCGCAAACTCCACCCGGTGAACGATGGCTTCAGTAAGGACCTCCACACCCTCGAGGCTATACGCTTGATGAGCTGCTTGGCGCCTTCCATCCTTCCAGGTCTCCAGATATTCCGAAATCCCCGCCAGATTGCCCGAGCATCCATCAGGATTGAACGGGACGCCAATCTCCGTAAAAGCATCTTTGATCGGCTCTCGAAGCGGATACTTGCGCCTCTCATCACTTGCAGACACTGCTGTCACGCGGATGGGCCCATCGAATCCATGGTGTTTGGGATCTGCCTTAGGATCGAAGAACGTTTCGGACTTGCGAAAAAATGACAGCAGTCCCCCATAGCTCCACCGCTGATCTCCTACCATTCTAGCCCATTGGTCATAGTCGGCCGCATCCCCGCGAGTCCATCCGCCGAAGTTGATCACACTGCCTCCACCTAGGGCCTTTCCAGCATGGACCTCGTGAGACCGACCGACGGTGTTCGTCTGGGGCACGGTGGGATACGACCAGTCAAGTTCTGAGCCAAGGAGGGAGAAAAGGCCCGGAAATGATTCAGTGTTCGGGTTGCTCGAGGGGTCACTTCCCGCTTCGAGGATAAGGACTTTGAGGGCTGGGTTGTGCTGCTTGAGGCGCGAGGCGACTACACACCCGGCCAAACCTCCTCCTGCAATGATGTAGTCTGCTTCGGACGCCATGATGGACACAATGCTATGCCTGAGGCTGTGTGGTAGAAATATTTCCAGTTCAAGTTTGGTGAAAACCAACTGATGCGATCGTGTCAAGTCAAATATGTCGATCGCTGTTCTAGGTCTCAATTGACACTATGGCTCCCGTCCACCTCAGTCGGGTGCGGTCTGTCGGTGCTTGGAGGAAGATCCTCAGCTGGCCCTCGTTGATCCTAAAAAGCAGAACCGCATTCTTGTAGTTAGGCTAAAGCATGATTACCAATGAAGACTTGTTGGTCAGTTGGTCAGACCACAAACGGTGGGAGGGTCAAAGTTACCCCGCAGCGCAGTGCCTGAGCTTACATGAGCATGGGCGGCCTGAAGGCCTTAAGGCTTTAAGCCGGCAGTTTCGCACCACTCAAATTTCGAAGATTGCATGAGTGGCTGCTTCTATCCTACGCCACATCTCAGACCGTGAAGAAAAGAGTCAATTGCGCAACAATGGCCTCGCCGACAATTGTATTGATCTCGGGTACGTAGTTCTTGATGTTTCTGCTAATCCGAGCCCAAAAGAGATCGGGAAAAGCGGGAAAAGAGAAAAAAAAAGCAAAATCCCACTCAGCCTTGTCTATACCCAAATCCGTACGAGATCTATAAAAAGCCAAGGCTAACTATATCCCAGGCGCAAACCAGGGTCTCGGCTACGAAACAGCCAAGAACCTACTCTTGTCCGACAACTACCACATCATCATCAGCAGCCGGAGCCTAACCAAGGCCGACAAGGCCGCCGACACGCTTCGGGCGCTCCCCGGAAACAAGGGCACGGTGTCGACCATCGAGCTGGACGTGGCCGACGACAAATCTGTCGATGCCGCAAAAGCTCACATCGAGTCGAAATACGACCGCATCGACGTCCTCGTCAACAATGCCGGCATCTATTTCCTGAACCGTGAGCCAGTGCGGGACACCCTGCGCGACTCGCTGGCTACGAACGTGGTCGGCGCCGCGAGTTTGACGGAGGCCTTGTTACCGGTGCTCAGGAAGTCTAAGGACCCTCGTCTAGTGTTTGTGAGCTCCTCTATGGGATCTCTGGAGCATAACTTGAACCCGAACTCGCCGCATGGTGGCACCTATGCCTCGGAGTATCGGATCACCAAGACGGCTCTCAATATGATGATGGTCCAGTATCATATGAAACTTTCCGATATCAAGGTCCTAGGCGCGGATCCCGGGTTCTGCGCAACGGAAATTGGTAACGACCCTGAGGCCTTCAGGAAGATGGGCGCTATGGAGCCTCATGAGGGAGCGGAGTTTATCGCGGCGGTTGCGAGGGGAGATAAAGATGATCAGCGGGGTCGCGTTCATGGTCCGAAGGGTGTTGTTGTGTGGTAAAGGCGACAGATGATGGCTACGATTTAACTATGAGGGCTCGTTTTGATTGGATATACAGAGACTGGCTGACAGTCCAGTTCATTGGATGTAGTATTCATCTCTAGATAGTATATATACATGATTGAAAGAATGCTGGCAATTGATGATAAGCTTACAGGTCGAACCAGTGACTGAAGGCATTCTTGGGGTCCACCTTGGCCTTGATGCTCTTCAGTCGGTCGACATTCTCGCCATAGAGCTCTGCCAAGCTCTCGTCTCCATGAGCGAAGTTAATATACCTGCAAGTGTCAAGTTAGCCTCAGGTTATGGAATGATCATGGGATAGAAAAATACTTACGCAGCAGGAGAATCAAGTCCATCCGTCGTCCGCCACAAGTCACGTAGCTTCGTTCCGAAAGCCAGCGCCTTCGTCTCCAAGCTGGCGTCAGAGTACCACGGAATGACAATAGCATTGAAGTTGACATCGTTTCTCCAGGCGAACGAAGACGAGGACTCGGACAACGAGCGGGCCTTCTCAAGAGAGTAAGCCTCCATCATGACCAGACTGTTGCTGGTGCCGTCATTTTCCAGCCAGGTGATCCACTCATCCCAGATCTCTCTCCAGGTGGTGGCGTCCATTTGGGCGAGACCAGCGGTGAACGAGGGCTTGTATCCACCCTTGGTGCAGAAGTCCTGCGAGGCGTCTGTCCAGTGGGCGTACTGCAGCTCACTAGTGGTGTCGTTGGTAGGGCCAATGTCGAGGAAGGCCTTGAATGCAGCACGTCCCTCCTCCTCGGAGCCGTAGTAGAACGGGGTGATGACAACGGACGGGGTACCGCTGGAGGCCATGTAGTAGAGGAACACGTTCATCTTCGGCTCCAAGGTGACATCGTTGAGAGCGTTGATGACCTTCTCCAGCTTATCCTCGGTGTAGATGAGTTGACCAAACCATGCGGTCTGTTCTTCGTTGGGGTACGACTTCAGGGTCGCGGAGGTGATAATAGCGAAGTTGGGTCCGGCGCCACGAAGCGCCCAGAATAGGTCCTCGTCCTTGGAGGTGACGGTCTTCTGGGTTCCGTCTGCCAGAACCACGTTGAGCGAGAGAACATTGTCCACACCGAAACCATGGACACCAAGCAGATTGCCATATCCTCCGCCGAGAATGGCGCCCATAGTGCCGACACAGGGGCAGTTGCCGGTCGGAACGAGCACGTCTTGCTTGGCCGCAACGGCGACAACTTCCTCAATTCCCACGCCACCTCCAATGGTGACTTGCGTCTTGTTGTCATTGAATTCGACCGAGTTCAGGTCCTTGATGTTGATGAGAATTCCGTCGTCTCCGAAGTCCCATTTCGCCCACCCGTGGCCTCCGTTCTGGGCCAGGAAGGGGATATTATTCGAGGTGGCGTATTTCACCTGTCGTAGTATTCGCAGTTAGCAAATAGTGAATATTAGAAAATAAGAATTGCAACTTACTGTTGCGGCCACATCGTCCTCGCTCGCTACATTCACGATGACTCCGGGACTGGGGGGAGCATAATTGCTCCAGCGGATGTACTTGGGGGAGTCGCCATCAGTAATGGAGGCCGAGGTGGACAGATCGGGTCCGAGCTCCTTGGTGACAGTTTGCGACGACAAGGCGGAGACCTCGAGGCCGCCGAAGAGAGGCAGAAGCAAAGTGAGCCAACGCATGGTCAATGTAATAACACGGAAGGAGGATTGCCTGCACTAAGCAACGGAAGTTTCATGGTAAGACTTCCGCTGAAGGGCTTAATATATAGGCACCCTCGTACCAGGTTCTGCGGATAATTCGGACTACTGTCTTAGTTCCCTGAGCGGAGATTTCATCCATGGTGTCCTTAATAATAGCATTGCTATGGAGATTAGTCCGCACTACTACCTCACGGTAGCGAATGGGGGCATGGGCAGTGATCGAGCCATTTCGTGCCCCGAGAACCAAAACCGATCTAGACCGTTGCCTTGTGGTGTTGAAGAGATACATGAATTGACATCTTATTCTGGGGCCCTTCTTTTCTTATTCTAGAAACATGATTGATAACTCATGTTGGCTCCCTTGTTCACCAGCGGCTACAGGTGTTTGCATAAGTGCTGAGATCGACATTCCACGAGGGACGGGAGGCCCTGGCACAGGAATACAACTAGCTAGCAGGGGATATTCCGGCCACCTACTGAGTACGGTGTACTCCGGAAGCAGGGGGCTAGCCTAGCGAAATTGGGGCCAAGTCGACTGCACGAGGGAGTTGGTGCAAGGCATCACATGGTGCATGGTGCCAGCCCGGTTGGTGAGTCGCATTAAATTGCCTCCTTGATAACTAGTGAAAGCAATTGACAATTGCACGGTCCACTCCGTTTTCCGTGGTCCGTAGAAGGATCCTGCACAAGCACAGATCCCTGCAAACCACACCATATAAATTAATTAGTTAGCCTTTCATAGCCCCCTACACGTCGATCCCTACCGGGAAGGGCGCTTGCTTATCCGGAGTGGACCCGACAATGACGCTAGCACCCCGATGTCACGTAGGCCCGCTCGCCTGGCACGGTTGAAAGAGGGTTTTTTGCACAGGCCCGGCTGGCCTGGGGAGCCACTGCTTTTCTGCAGCTTGCATTCGGTTCGATTGAGCTGGAATCCTGATTGATTGTCAGGATTGAAAGTCCCACTCGTGTCTTTATTAATGCTCAAGTCAATACAACTCATATACCGCATGCTTTAGGGGCCAAAATTGATTGTATGATTCTTAATACACTATCGGTGTATACACGATACCTCGTATAGGATCGTCAGTCTGGTATCTATGCATGTACATCCATACCTTGTAGGTCCGATCTGTGACTCTTTTACGAACCCTTTTCTATCACTCTCCGTGAGATGATGAAATAATTCCTTTTTTTGCTCGGCCGAAGTACTCGAGGATGTCAAAAACTGTCCTTCACTCTCCATAGTTTAGGGTTGGACCCCACGCCGGCCCGGAGGATGCCGCCCGTAACCGTATCGTGCAGGCTGCCAGGCAGTAAGTATGGAAGTATACCATACTGTACTTTACTGTACCGCCCCCGCAGTCAGTTGCCCCGTTGCCCCCATCCTCAGCCTAGAAACAGTCTGCAAAGACTGGGTGAGCACTAACTTTCCCTGCTGCAGCACTCCCTGCCACAGTCTGCCTCTGACGAGTATGGCGGACATGGCGGTCGCAATGTCCTACTCCGTACCTATATGGCGGATTATCTCACCAAGTCTCACTGATCATCTCCTCGCATATCCTGCGAACTACTGCGTCAATGTCGATTTCACCCCGTTGGACATCTGTTCCGATCTCTCGCAGCCAGTATGGCGGTTGACTCCTACTCCAAGGAGCAGATGGTTGCTCTGGGAATCACCTTCTTGATTCTCCCGTGCATCTTTGTCGCCCTGCGGTTCTGGGCAAAGTGGCTGTCGCGCAAAGCGCTACAATGGGACGACTTGTTCATTCTAGTGGCACTGGTAAGTGGACTTTGCTGCATGGGTGATGCTGTGCAGGGGATAGAGACCCCCGCGATAATACTGGGTCATGGTGCATTCTAACAAGACTTGATATCATGCAGGCCTTTTCCATCGGATGTTCTATCACGCAGTTAATAGGTACTTGCTCCCGACCAAGTTGTAT